TATCCCTCTTCCTTCCTAGCCTCATGTGCTGATAGACCTTTATTTTGTCTGCCAGCAACCTAAAAACGTATTTTGAAGAGAAAAGCACAGAGATGGTAATGTACCAAAGCATCATCATTTGCTTGGGTAGGCTAATGGAACGAAAAAGGGCAAAATGGTGGCATCTAGTTAAAGAATGGTATCCAGTTAAAGAATGGCCTCCTGTGTTCCAGGGTGAGGGAGCACAGCTGACTTTGAAACCATCTGTACTACACTATGCATCTGAAACATTCAGCAAGAGAGTCACCCACTGACCTCTGCTGGCATAATCCAGTTTGTTCTCTTATGCCTTTTTGTGAGTGCAGCTCTTGCATGGCTAATGGCATGAGCAAATGTGGAGATTTTGGAAACACTGCCTGCTGTTCTTTCATGTTCTTGGCCTCTAAAGCAACTTACAGTGAGTAAAAAGATACAATTTTCTCTGTCAAGTATAGGCTGGCCAGTCTACGGGTGCTAAACACCGGCACCCAGTTAATGCTGGGCTTTGTCATAGATGTATATGAATGTATGGGCTCCAAACACTGAAGAGAGGACAGCACCACCCTTTTATGCTTGGGTCACTCCTCTTCTAAGTGATAATCCTGGGGCTCCTAACCCCACAAACGCTTTAGGAGTGGCAAACAGTAGGGGAATTGTATGTTTGAACTCAAAAATGTAATGATGGGTACTAGCGGTAGTAGTCCTGAAAATGGGAGGTGAGAGGGGAAGTAGGAATCCTATTGTGACTGATACTTATAAGAAGTTGTGGATATTGAATTTGTATGAAAATGTGTCTAGAGCATAGAGCTACAGTCATATTAAATCAGATCTACTTTTGCTGTTTGGTACAGGCTTTCTTCCAGGTAGAATTGATTGAGCTCTGATCGCAAGGATGGCAGACAGTTCTGTTACATGAAAAAAATAAACCAGAAGTCATGGTATGATCAGGATGGGGTAAGAAAGCATTGTATCCATCTGTCTAATAGTAGTACTTTAATGGTGTTTGTACTAATCACTTGAATTAGAAAAAAAAAGCTGAACAGTAGATCCAGCTGTGTTGAGACCTCCTGATACAGTCTTTCCATTGGAGTACGTCTAAAGGTAAAACTTGTATCTACTCCTGAAAGCAGATACAAAATTAGAGATTTGTGTTTGGGGTCCAGTCAGTTTTACATCCTGTACCGCCAATATCCTTGCAGGGAGGGAGAATGAAATTATGTGCTTGGTTGTGTCAAGAGGTTTAAGTAAGAGAAGCCTGTGGCAAGCATTGCCATTTTCTTTTAGTCACATATACAGTAACAAAGCAACTACCAGCACTCCTTTTGGCCTTTTAGCTTGAATGCCCATGCAAAAGTGGTTTGTGAATTGCTACATAAACTTCACAATTGAGTGACACTAGGGCTGAGGGTGAGAGGTCTCCCACAAATAAAAATTGTTATTCATGTTTTCAGAGAATTAGCAGTTATGTCTCCTCCCTGGATATCCAAACAAACTCCTGTTTGAAAATAAAACTACTGGAAAGACTATACTGAAAATTTAAACATTTTAGACTTCAGAGATATTTAGATGTTTTGTACTTTATTATATAGCTGAAGTAAAACAAGTTCAATCGGTGCCAACCATTTTGTTTAATGCCTTGGAGATTCACCATCTTTAGATACGCTCTAAAGTTCCAGGTCTAGAGGCTTAGCAATGTTCCTACTCAAATGTGAATGAACATAGGCACTCTTATCTTACATGATTCTCTTCTTATATAGCTTATTAGCAGAATTTAGCAGTAGGAGAGATCCTATTTCTTAGTGCTTTTGTGCTATGGGGTTTTTTTTTGTTGTTGGGGGGGTTGGTTTTGGTTTTGGGTATTTCTTTTTGAGGCTGGTTGTAATGTGAATACAAGTGATAACAGTGAATCATCAGGAAAAAAAAAACCTTTGGAAATAAGCCAGAGTCAAATTCTTTTCTCGTGCTCTGTTCAATCTGCTTCCTCTTTAAAAGAAAACTTTCACATTAGCAGAAAAATAAATGCTTAGCCAGAGTTCTTTTTGTGTCCCTTTCAGCAGGGAGAAGGGAATGAGTGTGCCGAGCTCAATGCCCATGCTGGCTTCCTCCTGCCGCGGAGAGTTAACACTCTAAAAGCTTTTTCTTCCCCCTTTATTTCTCTTTCCATTTAATTCTTATGAAAAAGTTGTGATGTTACAATTTTAGTATTGGAAACCAAGCACAGAGTTTTGTTGTGAGGAACTGAAATGCTTTGATATAATCCTAGTTTTTTTCTGGGTGAAGTAACTTCTAGTTTTTAAATGGCTGGTGTGGCTAGAAAACAGCATCTGTACTACAAAGCTCTGAAGAGCACCTCCAGCAAATAAAAATATACAGTATACATGATATCTATGTGCCTGTTACAGAATACAGAGTGTTCTATCAAAGCCTGCTTGCTGGTATGATCTTAAACAAGTCACTTTTCCTGTAGCTGCAAGACCAAAACCACATTTGCTCACATAGCTAAATTTGGCTTTAGAAAAAAATTAACGCTTGAATGTTCTTAACATAATTACAATTAATTTTCATCATGACATGCAGACTTACCCATAGCAAGGAATAATGCTTTTTTTTTTCTTCTGGGTAGCTACTAGGCACAGACTGGAGATACACATTCGTTCTCCTTGCAAGCAGAATTAGTTTATTTTTTAGGCTCGCTATTAAGTATATTATGCACTATAGCTGATGCAAGGGAGTTGAGAGTATTGCAGTCTGTTAGTTACTTTTTTTTAATTCTGACTTGGTTTTCCAGTTTCCAAAATCTCATGTCTAGCATCTGATTTTTTTTTCCAGTTCTGAAGAAAAGTTATGGATGAGATGAACATTTTTGGCTGTTATCAGGCTTAACTAAGTCGCTAATTAAGCCTGACTGCTGAAATCTAGCTTCTGTTTTCCCCTGTACAGATGTCACATTATACTTTTAGCATATTGGAATCCATGGGGAAACGTGATTCCTGTAAGAGAACCTTTGCTGGGTTCCTTTGCACCTCCCCGTATGCCAGAGCTTGCTGTACAATATGCAAGACAACGTGGATTTTGTAAAAGGGATTCTCAGAAGTCCCTATGATAAATGGGTTAGTTTGTACAAAACACTCAAGTCTTCTCCACAGTTAAAAACACCTCAACCTTTTTCTGCCTCAATTTCTGAGCAATGATTTCTTGGTGTTTGCATGGCACCTTAACCATGTGGACTTTATCCCTCAGAAAAGTCATTGGAGAGAAGAGAGGTACTAGAAGTGGCAGACCAGGGCACGGTTGCTACTACTTTTACCTGTAGTTGTACTGAGCTCTGCAGTGCTGTGGTTAGTGTGTTTCTGGGAAAATACAAACAGGGGAGAGAAGCTGTCTTGTAGTTGCTCTTTGTGTGAAGATCATTCAGCAAGTGCCACCAAATCCCACCACTAGTGAGATGAGGGAGGTTATGCTTTGTTTGACAGCCTATCTGGAAACACGGGTATTTTTCATCCAGTGTTGGTGAGATTGAGGTTCTTCCACATCTGTCACAACAGAAAGGTGGGTATAAAGAGACCTTATGAGAGCAGATGTTAAGTGTTGTGAAACAGAGAAGTTATTAAGTGAAGCAAAAACTAAGGTGGATCTAAGTCTTGAGGTCCTATGTAGAGTTAATTGCCTGCAGTTTACTTGGGGATAAGGTATAAGGGGAATCGTTGCACGTTGGTGAGAGCCAAAGGTGCTGTTCTGATGACAGTTACAGGTTGGTAACTGCACTGTTCTTGTTCCAGTGAAATCTGGTGAAGGCCAGATCCCAGTTTGGTCACAGCAAGGACATGGAGTGGGAGATTGAGCTAACAATTTCAAGACTCCTCAGGTTTTCTTAAACTAAACAATCAAGGGGAAAAATGCAGATCATTCAAAAATGTCCATTAAATAAGAAAAAATCCTTTCAGGTATATGAATTGCCCCTAGTGACCCTAGGTTTACTAACACCCCTTTTTCTTTTGCCTTAAACAAAAATCTTGCTTAAACAAAAAAGCTGATGTCACAGGCCAGCAGTGATATTCATTGATGTAGATAAATTTACTTTAAAATTATTTAAGTAGCTTGAGCTAGGGAATTGGATTTATTTAATGTAGTACCATGTAACCAGAGGTGCAGAAAACATTCTTAGATGACAGAAATGTAAAGGGTTTTCTCTTGGTGCTGAGCTCCTCTGATGAATTTCCTAAGACATTGCCAATGTATGTCTTTTGTTGCAGTTCAAAGAGGTTTGTATGCTAAAGTCTGTAATTGCTGAAAAAGGTGTAAATTATGCTGGAAAGTAAATATTATTTGCAGCCTTGATTTGAACTATAGGTTCATGTTCAGCATATTGCATATTTCTTTATTTTTCTTAAACCTGTAAGAAAAATATTTAATCTGATCAATTGCTCTAAAAGCAAACGAAACATAAGGCATGATTGTTTGTTCATGTGGTAGTTCTCTGAGATAAAATGCTTTGTTGTATCCTGGTAATACATCTAAAATTTTTTGGTATCACTGCTTTGCAAGTCAGAGACTCCAGGCTAAAGCAGGCTGCTTTCTTGAGGGCTAGGAGAGACATTCATATTAGAGCACTCCTTCTTAACCTCCAGACAAACCCTTTATCTTTATTAATGTGCATTATTTTACCTTCTGCAGCAGATATCCCAAATTCTGTTTTGCCATCTACTCTGTGGCAATTGAGGCTTCAGAGGGTTGGCTATTTATTGCTTAATAGCCATGGATAAAAATGCAGTAAATTCTTTACAAAATAAAAATCAATACTTACTGACATACTGCATATTGAAGAAAATAATTGTTTATGGCACACAGCTTAAGCTGTTCTGGTAATCACGTTGAAAAATACAATATTTATTCATTAGATCAAATTTAATGAGGCCTCCTGGCAGTAATTATAAAAATTACTGTAGCAGTAAATTACTAATGAGTTGTGATGTGCTTCCTACCTGTGAGGAAGGACTGGGGGTTGAAAAAAATTGATATCCAGACAACACTAGGGAGGGTGAGATCTTGAGGCTAGGAGTCAAGCTCACAGCAGCGCGGAAGTTGTTCACTGCACCGGAATGGTTAAACTAAAAAAAGAGAGGAAAAAAAATAGCAGAGAGACTCATAATCAGGAGTTTCACTTTAAATAGAGGGTAACTCTAGATTTGTTTCCAAACCAACACCTATAGGCAAGGGAACAATGTTATCAATGGGAGGAAGAGACTTCTGTACATCATCTTGCTACAAAAGCAGCTGAGGTGACCTAATTTACTGTAGTAGATCTTAGGCTGGGAACAGCTTCTTGCTTGTTGTAATAAAGTTTCATGCAAAACACAGCAAAGAGGACAGTGTTTTCTTAGTGCCCTTAAATCTGCAGAACAGTCACCTAAGATGTAGAGCTAAGACAAAGGTTGAAACCCCTCACCAGCTTGCTTTGATGCAGGGGGGTTTGACCTGAATTTCTTTTTTCTGATACAAAGCTTTAAGGAATGCAGAGACTTTTGGTAGCAAATGGTACACAGTATGAATAACAGCAAGGCATAAAGGTGTAAAAATTGTGTCACTTCTATCAAAGTCCAGGTTTCTGCTGAGTACAGGGTGTTGCTGCAGTAGCAGAGGCTGGCTAGAGAAGGGGGTTCTGCTGCATGCCAAAATTAATGCAAAAGTGCATTGGCACAGTTATGTTTCTATCTGTAGCTTGTAGAGGTTCCATAGATTTGACAGGTGGCCTTTGGTATTGCAAAACAGTGAATAGGCTAGCTTTTAGCAAGAATTTGCTGCAAAAGATTGATTCTGGGTTCAAACATCACCCAAAATCAAAAGGCTGTGAATTTTTATCTCTCACAGCACAGAACTCTTAAATATACTCTTGGGGCTTGAAAAAGAGTGGGAAAATCTAGCACGATTTATCTCCTCCTTATACTGGTATGTTGTACTAAAAGGAACCACTGGGCAATGGATACGTCCAGACACTCATACATACTGTGAAGTCAAAGGGGAGAAAAGAGTGTCCACTCACCCTGGAGTCATCTGCCAAAACCCTTGAAAGAAGCAGAAATGCAGGTCGCCTGCGCACAACCTGCTTCTGTGCAGAGATGCTGGCTTTTGTGGAGCTATGGGAAGCTGAAAGTGCCCCTAAGAGTCAAGCATTACAGTACTGAGCCTGAAAGCCTTTATGGCTTTAGCTTCATACCTAAATAAATGTATACACTGAAAATACATACAAAGCCTCAGACAAGCTCATCAATGATCAGCAACAGGTCAGCATACAGCAGGACTCTTTTTGCAGTTACCATAGTTTCAAGAAAAGGTTACCTCTTTGTTACCCCCTTTAAAAAGCAGTGGTTTGCTGTGGTTTAGCTAATTCATGTTATCTGGCTTCTTGTTATTGAAATAAGGCAAGAAGAGCTTTTGCCGTGATGCAATTACAAAAACATCTCTCAACCACCCAGAAATTAACCTTATTTAACTTCATTGCCACAAAATCCACAGACCTGCTCTGTCTTTGCTGTTATGTCACACTGCAGAGAAAACCCATCTGGTTTTGGCTGTGAATATGGTATCTCGGCTGCTCGAGTGCTTCTTTTCCTAGCACTGCCATGCGTTTCCTCAGTGACCTCAGGAAATTCAGTCTTCCCCTGTTTCTCTTTTTAAAGCATGGAAATCCTCTCCAGGCTTTCCCTTGCAGTCTGGTCCTGTCTGAAAAAGAAAATAAAGTGTGTTTTTTTATTATTAGCTGAACCGAATTTGGCAATGGACAGATGTTCACTTTGCATACAGCTGTGCTGGCTGAAGATACATTTTTCTGTCTTTCTGGAGGCTAAATTAACACTGATAGAAAATTCTGTGGTCTTCAGAGAGAAAACACTTTAGAAATAGGAATTATTGTGGGCTGGATTTTCAGAATTGCTGTCAGCCACAGCTGAAATCAGTGGAAGCTGTGAACTGAAAAAACTGAAGCCCTGAGCTACAATAGTTTACATGAATGTAGAAGTTGTTAGTGGCTGGCACAGAATTTTGGATCAATCTACATTAAAAGCTCTCAGGTAAATACAAAAAGTAGATGTGATAAAATGCTCCTATTTGGTTTTGCGCTTTGGTTGTTTGGTGACCTGTTTTGGGTTTTTTTTTTAATTGCAGAATTCAGGTCTGGGAAGGCTACAAGCTTTCACCACAGGCTGTCTGACTATTGTCTCATGATGCAAAAGAGGGTTTCAGTTAGTATCACGAATTCTTAGGGAATCTTACAGTGGCAAAATGGGAGCAATTTACCCAGTGTTTCTTCTTCTACACCTATGACATTAATTTACTTGTGTGGAGGGGGGATACTGTGAAACTAAAACTAAAAACTAAATAATAATGATGAAGCTTTTAAGAGAGGCTATATCACAATCTGACATAAGTAGTAAGATGGTTGCTGTGCACTATTACTATAATTAAATTATATTATGCTATTGCATTAAACTAATCCACCAGTAATACTGTACTTAGCAGTAAGATTTTGTCACATAAACATTATGAGCCTTTAAACTTCTGCATTTTGTCTTGCAAAATCCAGGGAAAATACAGAAATTGGAAGAGCAGAATATAACATGAAAAGCTGTAGCTGTGGAAAAAGGCCAGCTGGTTCAACATGCCAGTCCTTTTAAAGCAGGTAAGTAGAGTGTTAGAATACATTTACCAAGGGTGGAACATGAGATGCATGCGTGAGGAGCCTGCTATTACTTTGAAAATGTTAGGTACCGATCTAAAAATTCTCTTTCTAGCATTTTCCCAAACTTCAGAACACATAAGGTTAAATCAGAAGCTGCTGAGAGTAAACTGTTAAGAAAAACATGCAAATAATAACTGAAATGAAGCTGCAATCTTTTATTTAAACAGAGGCAGAAAAGGAAGGGGACTACAGATCACATAGACTATGATCAGTGTAACAGGGCAGCTGATCAGAGGAATGCAGTCTTTACAACAGTGTTACCTTTTGCAGACCCAGGAAGCAGAATAATATTTTTCAAACTGAAGACTTCACTCCCATCGTAACAGATCAAACCATCGTTCAGACCAGCAGATCCTGTCCTCTCTCAGCCTGGTAAGCTGTTGTACATTTATTCTGGTGCTAGATCTTTTCCAAATGAGTTACTGGTGCTTTCATCCACATCCTGTTGACAGCTATCCCTTTCTCACCTTTGCAAAGTACAAACTGTGTTAATTGTTCCTTTTTGTTATCATGCACAATTACTTGGATTTTAGCAAAAATTATCACAGAAAATGACAAGCAGATTTCTCTCCCTTTGCTTGCAAACACTGTAAACTTACTGTATGCCAAACTGCTGTAACTGGCACTACAGCATTTGCTCTCCTTCCTAAATTTGCCTCTGCCTTTAAATGTTCACTGAACCATCTTAGTCTGCAGTCCTTGTGATCTAATTGTGCCCACAATATGCCGGGATGGACATGCAAATCGTTAAGGGTTCAGATGTATACAGGGGTCCTCCTCCAGCTCCTGGGGGTAGGAACAGGATGAAAACGTTATGAGACTTTATTAAGTCTTATAAGACCACCATCCCTTGCCTCTGGCAGCCTCAGGGGTGGGAATTAGCCTTTACAGGGAGGTTATCATCCATAATACATATTTATGCTGTGTCCATCGTGTCTAAGAATGCTCTCAGTAAAACTTAGGCTACGCTGTAATAATACTTTGCACTTCTTTGTTGCCTTTCATCTGAGCATTTCATTGTGCCTTTAAAAGCTTTCATTAGCTAAAATTCACAACCCTGTTGTGCAGTAACTGTGCATTAACACCTCCACCATATGCAAAATACAGTTCAGAGAAGCAAGGACTGGTGTAAGTGGTTTAAAAAGCTGGAAAGAATGGGGGGGCGGGGGGGAATTGAATTGATTATTCCCACATCTATGTGCTAGCCCCATGGTTTCTATCTAAAATATCTTGGATTGATGTTCTGGCTGCATTCCGCTGCATTTTTAAATGCTGATGTGTGTCAAATTTAGCATTGTTTCAAAATTCTGAAGACATTCATTTGCAGGTTCATTTATTATCTGCTAGAAATCTATCCTTTATAACTGGATGCAGATATAACCATGAGAGCGATATAAGTGCCTGTGGAGCTAGGTATGTATTTTCAGTATTGTTAAGCTACAGAGTCTAGTTTCCCCAGGATATGTATGACTCTTGTGAAAGCCAGTTACACACATTCATGAGAAGAGAATATGCCCCTAAAGCTACAATGTCCTACGTGCATAGCCTCCAATCCTCTACAAAGCTTACATTTCACAGGATTCAAGATTATTGGTTCTTTTGGGATCAATGAGAAACTCACCACCCATCTCCAGTATCTCTGAATTACAGAGCAGAACCAGATCAAACACAGAAGAGTTCCCTCATTTATCCTGCCTCTGTAATACATCAGAGTGTGTGCTGCATTCATTTTGTGTAGGCGGGCTGGTGTCTAATGTGCTCTGTGAACATATTTATAAAGGATTAACCTGTGCCTGGTGTTCCTAAAAACTGATTTAGTTAAAATACATGTTTTATTCTACTTGTCTCAACCATACAAATCATTCCTGTTTAGCTTTGATATTAGTCATTTTTGCTGTAGTGTAATACACTGCACATTATCAGTAGTCCTGCTATGTATGACAGGGTTTTTTTCCCCAGCCAATACTTCTTAGTGCATTGTATCATCTGCATCTGAGAATTTTAACCTGCAGTGAAAGCGTTCACGAATAGAATGCGTACTGCTTAGCAAATGCTGGAACATTGAGGGTTTGAAAAGAGTGTTCTTGCTTTCAGATTGTTTAGAAGCAAACTGGGTGTAGAAGGTCAGGAATCACAGGCGCTGTGAAGGACCTAGATGCACTTTGTACCTGGAATACTGTGTGTGAGCTCACACCTGGCACCTGTCACGCTAGGAAGGATCCAGTAAAGTGAAGCTCCTAGGGCGCAAACAACTGCAGCCCACCCCTCCCACCTGCTCCAAGTTAAGTATGTATGTTTTAAAATATTTACTTTGATACAGGCAATATTTAGATATTTATTTTGTGTAGGAGAAGGATTAAAAGGAAATACAAAGTAATAGCTTGACAATAGGGAATTCTGACCCTCATCTGCAATATGTGACAATAGCTCCAAAATGTTAAGGGCAATTTGAGAAGCTGCCGACTAGGAACTTGGGATAAAACTGAAGAAGGGCAGACTTCTGATGAAGGATTAGGGGTAATTTATTAAAGTTATCAACTACGGGGAAAATGACCAGAGTAAACACTGGAAAACTTGTTACTTCAGGTGTTTGACAGCCTGACTTAAGGTTTCTTCTCACCTTGATCTTCAACCTGGAATTCAGGGCTTGGTTTGGTTTTGGTGTTTTGTATTGGGTTTTTTCAGTTTGTATCAGCCTGTACTGGGATAGTAACTGTGTGAAAAAGCTCACAGAGTTTTCAGTATCTTCTGATGGAAAGGAATAGTGGTAGTTGATTAAATTTTTGCTGCTTATCTGATTGCCGTTGAATTCAAGGAGTTCAACCCACTCTAAATTCTGTTCTTGATACCATGTAGGTACACTTGTGTGTCAGATATTATTTGTTGTACCATTTGTCTATCTTATCTGGATATAAGAAAACACAAAAATCAGTGGGTGTAGTGGGTGGAGGAAGATTCTTCTCAGCAGCCCATCAGGCAGTTTTTCTAGTTCATTTTCTTCCCCATTGTTTGAAAGGAGCTTGCAAATGTTTCTTTTTCTTGCCAAGACAGTGGTACTTTTGCCCTGGCACACATTATTGTTTTTTTTTCTTTTCTTGTGTTTTGAGTGCAGCTGAACAACAAATTCCTCTCTGTTTAACAAGCAACTTCCTCATATTAAAAGTTTTTTCCAAATGAAGTATCTTTTTTTGATTTCAGCACAGCTCTGCATTTGTATTTGTTATTAAATACTGACAAATGAATAACAGCAAGTGCAGCAATATTGTGTGCTTGTGGGCTTTCAGATCAGCCCCTCTGGAACCTGTCTGTCTATCTCAAGGAGCCACAGCAGCAGCTGTGCTTTGAGAGGTAGCAAGTAAGACAGCAAGTCAGTATTTAGGAAACGAGAGTGGCTCCCTCAAAAGAAATCTAACCTCTTTTCTGCTATTCCCTGTGCATTAGACTTAACAGTGCTCTCAGAAATTTTCATGCAAGTTACACCCATTTCACACTTGTCCCTGAAACCTAGATAATTTTAAGTTTTACAGCAGCAAAATAATTTGCTGCCTGTTTTCTCACCAACGCAAGAGACTTTCTTTAAGTGGAAGTTGGCTCATCGGAGGCCATAGGAGGACATGGATAGATGGATGGATGGATGTGTGTGTACGTGCATCTGGAGTTCTTTTGTTCTCTCCCTGTTAGCTTTGACTGTTAAAACAGCCATTTCAGTAATTTCTTGGCTGGCTTTGCAGGGAAAAAATCTTGGTCTTTGCTGCTCCTAGAAGAGAGGTTGTCATAATGTTGCTCCCCCACTTGACTGACAGACACCTTTGCGAACACACAGCATGTTTCATCTCAAAGCACTCGATGAATATCCTTAACCCCCCCCTCTGGACCAGCCCACCTCTACTTGCAATGCTCCTTGTCTTTTCTTACAGGATTGCAATCCCTGCCTTTTGTTCCTCCTTCTCAGGAGTTAATACCTCCCCACCTTACAAGTCAGCAGCAGATTCTGTCAGTTTAAAACCCCAAATAACAAACACTCCTACCCTGAAGGCCTTTTCCTTTCAAGCATGTATTTTTCTAGCCTGCAAGGGAGTCAGTGCCATAACCCTGAGTTTTCAGGGAATAGTTTCTTAGCCTGTATCTGTCTATCATGAATATCTTCCAAAGAGGGAATGAACATCCCCTCTTCTGGCAGCTCGTACATTTTGTGGTTTCCTGCCCCCCCTTCCTGCCACCCTCCACTCCTCATATGCCCCTGCACTTCATCCCGTCTACATGTAATGTCTCCTTTCAAATCCTCATTTACTGCTGCTGTCACCTCAGCCTGCTCCAGCTATTGCCTGTCAATGCAGTCACAGCCCAGAACCCAAACATTTTTGCCTCTGTTAAGGCATCCCACTGTTGGTCTTTTGTGGATTTCCAGAAAGCTGGATGACCTGTGACACAAGTTTCCAATATTTCTCTTCCATCCACACTCTATTTCCCTATCTGTTGGATTTTTCTCTGAATTTCTATGGCTTGAAAAACAAAGCATCAACTTATCAACTTGTTTTTTTTCCTTTTACCCCATTTAACATTGCTGGCATCACATTCCCACCTTTCTCGCTGAGGTCTTTTTTTTTTTTTTTTGGCAGTATTTGGTATTGCTTCTTGCTTCCTAACAAGCTGCTGTTAAGAAATGCTAGACATACCTGCCTTGGGGATAGTTGACTGTCTCTAAGCCAGAGACAGGAGACTGCTGGCTCAGGGGCAAGAGGCGACTCCTCCATAGAAACATGAAACACTGGGTGACATATAGGATGACTTTATAAAAGGGAAGCATTAACAGAATTCATGTTCATTTCAGAGACATGGAAAAGGATCCTGAAGATAAACTGAAGATCTGAGATTATTAGGTGATCTGACATAATCTCTGTCATTTAATCACTTGTGTTTGCTGTTTATGACACATTTGCTGAGCCCAAGATACTTAAACTGTGCACGTATTCAGATTTTTTCCATTTACCTCCTCACCCTGTCCCACCTTACTTTGAAATGGCAACTGATTAGAAATAAAAGATTTTTTTTCTGATGGCTCAGATAGGCACGTCAGGTAGGTATATGAGATGGAGGGGTTTAAAAACGGGGAGGATAAAACTATCATGATGACTGAGGCCTTCTTGTGCTTTGCAGCGTGCATAACAGAGTGGTATAGAGAGGATGTTCTTCCCTGAAGGAAGCTCATGGCTCCTGCTCCAGACAACAATTACTGTGGGGTTTTAGACAAGACAATGATTCAAGTTTTGTTTTCAGTCTGGTTTTTGTGTTTTTTCTTCATCTCCCCAAACCCAAGGGACTGATGGCCAGGCAAAGCTGACCACTAGTCATGTTCATGCATAACCTCTCTGGTGCTCATGGCAGACCTCCCTTTCACCTGTTCTGCAGTCCATCCCCATACATGCTCTATTCCAGCAGAGAGGCTGTTTTGGAGCCCAGCTGCATAGCACAGCGTCACAGCAATGATTTTGCTCCCTGGTGACTCACTGCATTTTGCACCTGATGGTAAAAGATAACCTGTCACCTTAAATCCTACTAGTTCTACAAGACAGCTTTTATATAATCAGTGGGTACTTCTACCCTCTTTTGTCCAAACATGAGTATAAGGTCCAGCTTGATTCCCCCATACATTTTTTTAAAGAAAGCAGCTGTGTCGTCCTTCAGGAAAACAGCTTGTAATTTAGCATTACTGCATTATATCCCCTAGGCAACGCTTCTGTCTTCAGGACATATATTTATCACAGACATCACAGTATCTCTATGGTGGTTTAGTTTTCCATCAAGGGAAGCTAAAAGAGCATTTAATTCTGTAAAGCTATGATTGATCTTCACTACAATGTACCTCTGATGCTCTTCTCAATGTGTCTTCTGATGAACAAGATTTCTTCTTCCACTTTTGATCTCTCAGAAGTCTGTACTGATCTCAGAAGAGTGGGCTTGTTTTGCCTTCTAGTGCTACCTGTCTTTGTGCTTGGCAGAGCTTTCCTGTCCTTTGGTCAGCTCTCCAGTCCTCGTTCACTCCATCAGTCAGTGGCTCTTTGCCTTACTCAGGAGGCTCCTGTGGAGAGTTGAATATGTGCCAGCAAGTAAATAATCTGCCAGCATTGGATGGCTTTCACTTCTTGTTTACGGTTTCATTTTTGGTATTACAAAACAGTTGTGTAGACTAGGTAGAGGGACACATCTTAAGATACGTTCAATTAAGATGAACAGAAAAATGATGGCCCCACTGCTTGCTCTGAAACTTTTCTATGTTCTTAATGCAAGCTGCTTTGTTAATTGCTACTTCTTCTGATGACCATTTCACCCTTGAGCTTAGAGCAGTACCGTTCTATTGTTACAAATTCTGATCCCAAAAGACACAAGAAACCAAGCTTGGTCTTCTTAGTAGGAGATACTATGTACTATAGCACTTGTCAAATCTATTTGATAAACGCACGCAGCTCGAGACAAAAGCAAGCAAGGAAGGAGTGGGAATGCAAATTCTAGAGAAATCTTTCAAAGCCTGCAGTAATTGGCAAGGTAAATGCAAGGCTCTTTCTGCTTTTCATAACACTGGTAATATCAGTTTATGATAAAAAGCTATTCTGAGTTACACAAGAAGGTAAGATATTTGCCAAAAAAATTCTTTAGTTTGAATTCTGTTTTTTTATGATGGACATGAAGTGCCATCCATACTGAATGACTGTTGGCATGCAACTTACCACTGAGCAACTGTATGTTGATGGATAAGCCAGTCTCATCCAAGTGTCAGGAAGATTATCAAAAAAAAGAGCTGTCTGTAGTTGCTCCATCTCTGAGGAGATTGCCAACTCACCCTAACAAAAGAAAACATTAGTGTGCTATTTGCGTCTCACAAAGAGACTGTGATAAGATGACATGATAAATGATAGAGGGCTTTTTTTTCCCCAGTAAAAACACATAAGGTAGCTAAATCATCAAGTGTAAAGAATATTTTGGCTCTTGCAACTGGGGTGAGTAATTTATTTTTTAAAAAGGGGAAACAGTTAGAAAAACAAGAGTGTAGGTTCTGGGGTTTCTGTATTTCTTAGAATCACTCTAATTGCATTAAGTAATTATATGATATAGTAATTCATATACGTACGCATGGAAGCACCCACCTACGCATATGTACAGGGAGAAAATGATAAAGGGCCAAATTACTAACTTGCTTTCAGATATCCCACAGAAAATTGTACATGCAATCAAGCTACTATTCTGCTGGCTTGCTTGCACTAATGGCTATTTGAATGCCCATGTTTTGTTACTCTGAATTAAAGATCGAAAGAAAGGTAATTTTTCAGGTGGTGAAAAAGGAGGTCCCTTAAAAATACTAGCCCTATGAATTAGATTTTCAGTACCTAGTTTTGGTGTGGTATACATTAACTAGAGCGCTGCATGCATATACCACAACTGTCTGTGTAAAATGCTAGCAAGCTACTTGGTTGCCCAATTCCATGGTTGAGCATATATTAAATGGTAGTGCATCACTGTTTGAGATTTCTAGATATTATGAAAATTTGGCTGTCTCTGGTTAAGAATGTTACATGTTGCTACTCAGCACTTCGTTGACGTTGAGAGATATACTATTACCAAAAACTGTCAAAGATATGCAATGAGTTCCCCACGTCCCTCTTACCTCGTTCATCGCACTCAATACATGCACAGTGAGATCAGGACTTGGGTGTTACTGATACTGCACCTTTACCTGCAGTTAATGGCGATCTCCAAATGACAGCCAAATGCCACATACTGATGGCATTTAACACAATGTGGATTGTGTGCCTTATCCGGCGGGGATCTATATGAAGCGGAGTTTGTTTTCAGCACCAGAGGGTCTCTAAAGCATCAAACAGCTCCCTTCTCTCCTATGGATTGCCCAAAGCACATGTGAACACACACCGAAACTAGCAGTTGTAAACAGAAGAGCCAAATTTCTGCAATGGCAGAAAAGAAGAATGTCCCAACCTTACCTCCATGTCTGCACTGGAACAGGAGTCAGACCATAATCAAGGGCTTTGCATTTTGCTTCCTAGCACGCAGAGAAATAGAGGATTTTAGTTTTCTGAGTAGTTTCATGATAATTTTTTTCACACAAATTAAAACAAATCATTTGATATATGGAGATGAGTTATATGTTTGGAGTAGGCAGCTTATGAAAGCACAACTTTTTAATCAATGAAATCAGAAATAAGCTCACCAAGTATCACTCACAATGCCTGTTACAGGCATCTACACTCATGCTGTTTAAACCCATGCATCCCCTGAGATTAGTAAAGCAAAGCACACATATCTTCAAACCTAAATTAAGTTCTTGAAGAGAATGCCTTACCTCATATATGAGCAGATCCAGTCTCATATTCTGGAAAACAAATCAGCTTATGTGAGTAGCATTCTTCTGGTGTTTGGATTAAATAGCTGATCTCACTTTCTTCTGAAAGATTTTTTTTTCTCTATGTCATCTAGCTCTGCCTTCATCCTCAAGAGATACCACATTGCATGAGGCAAGTGTCTTGTGTATCCACTTCTGCACAAATGTAAAGGAAATTATAAACATCGTGTATCTTTATGTAGTGAAAGCACTTCTACTGCCTTCATGTCACAGTATGAAGGATGTGGAGCATTTATCCTGTGAAATAGAGAAGGAGCGGAAGACTTGTGCAGGGCCATGCTGTTAGGAAGAAAAGCAAATTCTGCCTTATAGTTTGGAAATAATGGCATTTTGCAACCTGACAAAGGATCCTAAATGGCCTAACACTATTAATATATTGTAACAGTCTAGCAAGATCTTTTTTCTTTGTGGTGCAAAATAATGCATATAGTTATGGCTCACGTATACTAGAGATCCCTCATTGCAAATTTCAGATTGAATCCCTGTAAAAAACGGGTATGAAAATGTCTAATTCTATTGAATTAGAGAGAAAAAAGGCCACGGGAGAGAAAAAAGCCCCTAAACATAAAACCACTGACATCACACCATCTTGTGACAAATTTGCAGCCTGCTCTATGTTTTGACTGACCTTGTCTTCCACAGCTTGGGAGACTCCTTTCCCAGTGACTGAGTATTTGAATTGCAGCTCTAATAGCATATAGAGCATGTTGTTTGCAGTTATTACAAAAGCAATCTCCACATTGGGGTGCAGGCCATAACGGATGGGGCTCTGGGGAGGTAGCATTTTATCCATATTTTTATAGTAGCCTTCATAATCCAGGTTTGAAGAGACTGAAAACCCAGAAGCAAGCACTGACTTACTATCAAACTGTCAAAGAAATAATAAAAACCTTGTCAGTAAGACACTGGTGGCAATCCTCACTAGACAGAATAAGGACCTGCTTAGGCATAAATGAAATTGTTCTATTATGGAGTCACTGTTGAGAACAAGACTTTTATATCACTTTTATATCCGTGGAAATTAATCTAATTTGTTCCCCATTTTAATTAGCCTCTTTATGTCACATCCAAGTTCCAATGCTTGCAAGAAAAAGAAAAAAGAATTTTCTAATAATCAGATTATCCTTCTGAAAGAAAACAGCAAAAAGATAATTTTAATTTAAAAAATAAAGAGACAGAAATATTTTAAAAGAAAAATATTATTTCTTCCAAATTACAAAGTGCTGCTCTCTGGTGTAACATTATTATTCTGTGTAGCAACTTATTAAATGAAGCAATTTATGGTAGCATCTCTGAAAAATGCCATCCTTTATTGAAATGAAAGCGAGTAATAGCATAAGGACTGTAAAATAAAAAGGCAGAATATCTTCTTTTAGACCATTACAAAAATACATGTATTGTCTATTTGAAAATCAATAGAGTACCATAAAATAAAATGGAGCTGTGGTATCATCACCATAATTTCTATTTCAAATGGTTTGCTGAGAACCAAATTGTGTCTTTTATGGAAAAAGAATGACAAATGCTTTAATTCAATATCACACGCATTTGTATATATGAGCTGAAATTCTGCTGCGACTCAAAGCTGTTAGGCAAATATTTTAGTATCACCACAAGTTTAAAAACAACAGACATGTGGGAGTACATCCATTTATTTACACTTGTACTGACTTAAAATTCAAAATGCTATTTGATGCTTTTAAAGTACTTCTGTGGGATGTTAAATTACTGCTGAATTCTTACTGTTCTGAGATACCTTTCAACCTGCCAAGATGCACGATGATGATAATAATAATAATAACAGCAGTAGCGTGGGGATCTTTAAAATAATGTGGGGCTTATTCCTTTAAAGATAAATACCATTTTCACTAACCCCCGTTTTATGATTCAGCATTTCTGATGCAACAAAGTGAAATAATGAAAGTAAAACAACAACAGGTTTGTGTGGGATGGGAAAGGGAAAACGAGCACATGCATTGTCAGAATTTTTGCAGACATTGTAGGGGAAAAAAAGCTCGTGTAAGTGGCACTTCCCTGTCCCCCCCGGGAAAATTCCTCCTCTTGTTTTTAGTGTTCGCTACATTTCCTTCTTTTATTCCTTTTTCTGATCTCGTCCTTTCGTTCCCCATGTCTCCTCTGATGCTTCTCCTTCCTCCTCGCAGCGGGAGACTCCTGGCAGCCGGGGAAGGAGAGCCACGGCTGGATGGTGCGAGGCTTGCAGGTGAGCTGGGGGCACCGGCGCCTGGGGAGGAGAGAGATGGGAGCCCAAGGCTTGCTGCCTTGTGTGCACAGGGCCTGATGCACTCCCGCCTCCTTCTTCGGCGCGCCTCTATCTCAGGGACAGGGTGCGGATGTGGCGCTGGGAGCTTCCTACACCTGCCTTGCTCGGGGCTGCGGGGGAGGAGGAGGAGGTGAGATGGCCAATGTGTTAAGTGAGGATAGGGGCTGTGAGCCACTCCTTGTCAGTCGCCCTTGGCGTGCATGGGCTGGGAAGGGGCTGTCCTGCTACCTGCCACCATCACCATCTGACAAACCCCGAGTTCAGTGAGGGTCCCCTCCGTCCGCCAGGCATGGCCACCGCCACAGGCGGCGATAATCACCAAATGCCCCACAGAGGTGGAAGGGAGAGGGCTTTTCTGCCTCCCTCTTACCGAATAGTTTTGTCGCCCACGGCCCCTCGGTCATTATCGCCGCTCGGCCCCAGCCCTGCGGGCACAGCACTGCAAGGAATCATTGCATTGCTAAGGGATCAGAGGTCACCGCTGCAGGGAGCCAGGGGCTGGTTTATTAAACGGCCAAGTCTGTTTAAAATGTAATTCCTCAGGAAGAGCCGTGTGCTTGTGGCCATTTAAATGAGTAGCAGAGCGTGCCCGTTCATGCCCGTGTTTGCTTCCTCCAGGCACAAACCCCGGCTCGGCGGGCCGATCCCGGGGTTGCGGTCGGCCGGGTCGCCCGAGCCCCGCAGGGCTGTGACCTCTGCGGGGCTGGCTCCTGCTCATGTCACACCCCTGTCCCCCCGGTGGAAACTGCGGGAGGAAGTGCGGGATGCGCCTCGGGTTTGCTGAAACTGATCCATCTGCGCTGGCTCCTGCGCTGGAAACGACCGGGCTCACACAGGCAGGCGCCCGGGCGGGAGGCTCCGGGCCGGGGGCGGGCTACAAGCTCTCCCGCCGGCACCTGGGTGTTGGCAGCGGGGTGCCGGGGGTGCGGCCCTGCCTGGGGAATCCCGTACGCCCCCACTCCAGCGTTAACACGAGCGTTTGCGAGAGGGAAACCTCCCCTGGAGGTCGGGGCTGCCGTCACACCCCCGCAGCGCTGCCCAGGGTCAGGCCCGGGGGGTACACGCTCTCCCCGGGTGCTCCCTCCCCCGGGGCCGGGCACAGCCACAGCCACAGCCACAGCCACAGCCACAGCCACAGCCACAGCCACAGCCACAGCCACGCTCCCCCGCCCGCGCCTCCCACGGCCCGCGGCACCGCCGGAGCGGCCGCCGGCAGGGGGCGCTCTGGCTCCGGGAACGCGCCGCCGCTGACCCGGACGCGTCCCGGCCCCGGCCCCGGCCCCGGCCCTGGCCCTGGCCCGCCGCGCCACGGGGCAGGGCACGGGCAGAGGCACGGGCACGGGCGGCTGCCTGGGGCGCCCGGCAGGTACCGCGGGGAGCGAGGAGGTGACGACCTCTCGGGCAGAGCCGCCGGCCGGGGGGGGACGGTCCGGCACCCCGAGCGCACCTGGGCGGGCGCGGGGAAGGCGGCGCCCCGCGGGCCGAGGGGCCGGGCCCTCGGCGGGGCCGGCGGGCTGCGGGGCCGGCGGAGCCACTGCCGCCTGCAGAAGTTGGCGACAAACGTGTGGTCGCCGTGGCTGCAGCCGCGGCTTTCTTTGTGCGTATGTCTGTCAGCACTTTGGGTGACATTCCCTCCGCTGCGCGGGTGGCTGGCCGTTCTTCCCATCTTTATTGCTGGAAGAGGTTATTCTAAACAAGAGGAAAAGACGAAAAGCCTTTATAATTTTCACAGAGGTTTTTTAGAATATACTGTCGAAAAGCAATTTTTTTTTTTTTTTGTAATTGGAGAGTTTCTTAGCATTCAGGTTGATGCTCTTTCTTTAGTACAGATACGTATTCCAAAGAGATACTTGATTTCTTTGACCATATCTTTGATCATAGCTTATGATTATTACCTATATACACCTATGTTTGTATCTTTTAAGAGTCAGTAACAAAAATTGTTTTAATTAAAAGCCTTCCAAAACAAAGATTAAAAAGGATGGAGGAAAATATCATAACCTAGCAGTCAAAACCATGCTTTCCTCTTATGTACTATGCAAACGTTTTGGACCAAACCCTTAGCAATATAAATTGGTGTAGTGAACCTCACTGATTTACCTCAGCTGAAGACCTAATTCTGTGCACTACATGCTCAGAATATGTAAAAAATATTGCAGAGACACAAAAACGCATGGTTTCGCATTTCAAGATAAATCAAACTAAGCTAGACAAAACCAAAAAAAATTCTTATTCTGTACTACAGTAATTAACTGTAGTGACTGCAAATTTTTCATTCCCACGTGCACAGGCATGTACTTAACTAGAAACTGTATGTGATGCTTTAAAATGAAAAGAAGTAGTTTCTTGTTTGATTTTTTTTTTCTTTTTGCTGTTAGATGTGCAGTCATTCTAGGATATGTGAACAAATCTTTAAGAAATTAAATGCATCCTGCTTTATTACTGCGTACCCTGTAAAGGCTTTTAGTGACTTCACCGTTTCAAGTGGCTTTAAAAGGAGAAGTTCAATGCTCACATTTTTAAAGTTTTATTTCTGTGGTGTTTTGCTTGCCTAGTCAAACTTATGCAGTGCAGCATGGTGATCAGGCATTATTACTGGTTGTAGTTTATCAGGTTTTTTAATGTGAGATTTCCCAAATCCACTCGGGAATGAGATATGCTTTAGGGGAAGTGGCAGGTTCCTCACACTCAAAACCGATCACCCTGCTGACTTCCTTCCCTGGTTTTCTTCAGTAATTTCTCTAATGTGTTCAACCACTTTACTACAAAATAAATATTCAGAGATGGGGAGGGAGAGGGGGGAGAAAGGAGGAAAAAATAGGCCTCCTAGTGAGCTATTGATTTGAAATTTGAAACATTTTATTGATACAAGAAAAACCAGACATAAGGAAGCAGTTTCATATTGCACAATATTTGAAAAAAATCGTGTGCATCTGTTTAGCACAATACACTGCATAATGACAGCAATCTTCCCTGTTTGTATCTATTCATCTGATTATACAGCGTAACAATTCTTTTTGCTACACATTTATTTACTAAAGGATTTTTTTTAATGGATAATAAATTAGTAAATCAGATACCGTGTGCTTGGGAAAATATGTTAGTTGACTCCCTACACACAATTCATATTTTATGTGATATGCAGTGATACTTGCATATACAGATGAAGTTATGTGCTTCCCTTGTGGCAAAGACAAAGGAAGTTTTAAATCACTATTTAGTACTCTTTCATCTAGGCACATGCTATTTTGAAAAGCTTCAGTTTTTAACACTGCAGTGCAGCACTGATGTAATGAAGAGCTTTGACTTACTTGAAGTGTAACCCAGTGGCCTTCTTTTGATGCCTTTTCCATAGCTATTTCTGCTGCAGCTTCCTGTCCTTGACCCAACAATACATTGTGAAGTTCTCCGGAGTCAATGGTAAATTCAAACTTGTTCCCTAAACAGAACAATATACTGTACTACTTTGAGCCAAATAATGAAGTGTTCAAATAAGCATGTGTTCTACACACAGTGTTTAAATGGCACCACATTACATGAGTCACCAAAGGAAAAAAAAAAAGCCCTCAAAAATATAGTTTCAATAAGTCAGCTGAGCTAGTATATTGTACTGTTCTATGGCCAAGTATTTCGTATTAGCAAAATGCCCCTGTGTCTGAAAAGCAATGCAGAAGTGAGACAATTGATTCCTGCTAATGGATTCCCTACATATTGCCTATAAAAATATTTCAATGCACACTGAAGTAGATGTGTTAGAAATTTATCTAAAGAAAAAAAAGGAAATTAATGTCTCATTAAAGGTGATATTACACAAGGGCAATGAAAGGGGCTAAGCAGAAGTCCTTACATTGGCATTAGGAGGTAGTTTGGTCAGAGGAGGGTTAGCAGGTTTTCAGTAGGGTCGAATCTATCACTCAAGTATAGTTGTGCTAGGTTGATGACTTGCACTAGTAAAATACAGAACAGCAGGCAAGCTACCTCTGATTTCAGAAAGCAGCCAGCAGTCACCCAGGCAGCTGAGTCAAGCGCTGTAACTTTCCTCAGATGCTAAGTGTTAGAGATGTAATGCCATCTGTGTGTTATCATGTGACAAAGGCCTTGTTTATTTCTCTGGTTTTGATAGAATTTCTAAAACCAGTGGTATTGCTAACTAACTTGGTAGACATTTCTTTTATGGTAAATGCTATGTGTTCTCATGATTGTTAGTAATAGCATCTATATATAGTCCAGAGGAATCTAATGGTTCAGAATCGATAAGGAACCAATCCAGGAGATAAACGCTACTGGGGAACAGCACTACCTTCTTTGGAAGTTTTTGTGAACACTGGACACATTTTGTTCCAAGTTACATTTGGGCAAAGTTCCCATAAATTAAGAATTACAGTTGACAGACTGTTGTGAAAAACAACAGTTAAGGTGTAAGACCTATTCTATGGGGCATAGTATTTTATTATGACTTCTATTTGGTAGAGATCCAAGTATAACACACGTTAGGGTCACTCACAGTGCAAAATCTGTCCTTCAAAGGGCTGAGGCTTGTAATGCAAACTGACAGCACAAGTCATCCCCGACAGTCTGCTGTCTCACATAATTATTGGTTTCAGGAGAGAACTTTTTGCTTTTCATTCTTTTAGAAATGTCTCTTTTCTGGACATTCCAACTCCATCTTTTTTGCTTGTCCTTTCCGGGGGCCTTCAGTATCTCTATTCAAGTAGCATAATTTATTCATCATTGTCCACACTTGAAAAAATACTGTGTAGAGCACATTTGAGCACAAGCATGTGGATTTTGAAAACCAATGTAACTGAAGATTTTATTTTAAAAACCCTCTGTTTGTAGGATCATTATTATAGACACACTATACCTGATTTCTCTTCATGGAGAATTAGAGAGAAAATCAAGTAAACGTTGAAACAGTAGTCAGTGTAAGTTCAGAGAGTTCCCAAAGCATCAGTTTGTTTTTCTGTAACTAAAAGCTTTAGGATAGAACAGCTGTGAAATTAATAGAAAATGCTTGTAATATTTATCAGTGTTTATTTTCTCTAAAGCTTTGGGTTTTACTTGTGGTCCAGATCTCCCATTTAAAGTATTTTAAAATCTTTTAAAACCATGCAATACAGATTCTGGATATCATAAGCTTAAATCATGAACATATAGAAACATTCCTCAGAGTATATGAATACGTTCACAGATGATGATTAAGTGTGCCAGCTTAGAAGACCAGCTAAGCTTTCACCAAAATATGGCAAAGTTTTAACATAAGGTTTTTTTGAAATGTCTGCTTTGACAAATTAAATGTGGACTTTTGTGTGTAAGCCTTTTAGTGTGTCAACAAGGCTAGAAACACTAAATTGTGCTGAGAAAGAGTATTAATACAGCATTCCAAGGTCAGCTGAGCTCAGATTTCTCTAGAAGAGGAACAGTTTCTCTTAAGAAATTGCCATATGGCAAAATGCTTAAAATTTTAGAAGTCTGTTAGAACCAGATCTAAATTTTCCACTGTTAAAAGAAACAACAAGAGAGCTCCACACCATTATTTCTCTCTTTGTACATGGATGTGCTGTGTGAATCCAGAGGTGCATTCAGCTATGTATTAGTAGGGAGCACTGAGCCGCTAGAGCAGGAAAAGATAGGACAGAAATAAACTGTTGGCTGCAATTGCCCCTTTGAAAAAGAACAGGAATTTTGAGAGGGGAGAGAAGGAGTTCCCTTGGTCCCAATGGAGTTTATTATTCTCTGGAAACAGGTAAACCAACCCTGGCTCAGGAAGATACTTTAGAATAGGAAATGTTTTGCCTTTGAAATGTACCAGATTACATGTCATTTCAAATAGTGTTCATGGCAAAGATACCCCTGGGACCACCTTACAAGAGCTTTATTTCTTGCCTGCAAATTAGTCAGTTCAAAACACTTCTCCTCTCATCTCTGCCTTCAGCTCTTAATACCACACATGCCATTCGTAAAAGAGCGGAAAAGAATGAAAAGCCCCTCAATACAATGGTACAATTAAAAAAATAAAACAAAAGACTGTAAAGGCAAGAACAAGATGGGTTTCAGCTGACAAGGAAAAGAATGAAATTTTGGTGCATTTTTGGAGGCATTTCAATAAACCCTCTTTCTTCCGTTTCAGCAGGGGCTCATTGAAACAGCTATGTTTTCCAAGTAGCAGGCAGACAGACAATAGCATCTAAATTATTTTTAAGAAAGCACTTAAAGCACTAAGCACTCACTACTACTAAATCCATCTTAGAGGAGAAGGGTGGAGGAAGAAGAAAGGTCAACAAATGTATCAAGTTCTTTGTGTAATGCCTCACTGACATTTTCCAACTCCCTCAGCTGGCTTTTATTTTTTTATTTTTCAGAATCCTGGTAAAATGCAGTAAAGGATTTAAGGTTATCATCTGTCTCTCTCTAACTTCTGACATCTCTTTATAACAAGAAAGAGTCACAGCCAACTGTAACAGGAGGGCAACACAATGAATCCTGGTAAGACCGGGAAGGGGGGAGGTTCAACTTTGCTGCTCCTTTGCCCCTATTTCTTCCTCACAGAACAGAAGTGCCATCTGTTACTAGTTCTAACATGCATGCATTTGATTTCCATTCAGTAATAACTAACACAGGAAAAAGATTATCCAGTGATCTAAAGTACTATCAGCATTAGCAAATCTTCCCATCCAGTGTTTTGTTTGCACCTCTGAAGATCTTGCAGATGAAATGGATATGGGCAAGTGCCTTAATGGCCTAGAATTATTCTGTTCTCTGGTAGAGGACCATATGGTCAAGGTATGGATCATGACCAGACTGAGGATATTTAGGTGCTTAGATCAGAAAGAGATTTAGGAAAATCAAACAAGAGGACTGATGTTTAGATTCTCCAACCTGAATTCACTACAATCTCTATTACTCAGTGTTGTATTAAATCATCATAATAATGCAAAATCAAGTCACAGCATGTCGTGTGAGGCTAGACAGTATAAAGTATAAGCCTGTTTCGAAGTAATCCGTAAAAATGTTCTTAGGCTTCACTCAAATTTGTCACATTCACAAGCAAAAAGCCCAACACCACCAAACACCTCCCAGTCCAGCAAATTCAGTTTAAGATTATGCTGGCTTTGGCTGAGGTATTTCTTCATAGCATCTAGTATGGGGCTGTGGTTTGGATTTGTGCTGGAAACAGTGTTGATAATTCAGGGATGTTTTAATTATTAGTGAGCAGTGCTCACACAGAGTCAAGACCTTTTCTGCTCCTCACACCACCCCACCAGTGAGGAGGCTGGGGGTGCACAAATGTTGAGAGGAAACACGGCTGGGACAGTTGACCCCAACTGACCAAAGGGATATTCCGTAGCATAAGGCGTCATGCTCAGTATAAACTAGAGATGGAAGTTGGCTGGAGATTGCGGTTTGGGGACTGCAGCTCATGGACTGGGTGGACATTGGCTTGTTGGTGGTAAGCAATTGTTTTTTATTTGCATTGCTTTGTCTTGGGTTTTATTTCTCTCCTTTTTTTTTTTTTTTAATTGGTGGTGTTGTTGTTATTAAACTGCTGTTATTTCAACCCATGAGTTTATCTCCTTTACCCTTCCAATTCTCTTCCCTTCATCCTGCCATGGGGGAGTGGGTGAATGGCTGTGCTCTGCTTAGTTGCTGGCTGGGGCTAAACCATGACAAAGATCTGAAAAAACAATGAAAACATCTTTTCTTCCTAACTCACTGCAGGTGCCAAAGACCATCTGGATCCTTCAGTTATGCCTAGTTGTGCCTGATGTCTTACTGTTGAAAGAAATGGGGTGCAGCAGCAGATGCCAGCAAAGTAAAGGTGCCTACATAGTGCTGTTTGCAAAGCAGGGTAACAATTAAACAATTGGTGCAGTGGGATTTCTCTGTCAGAAATGTCTCTTCAGGCATTTCAGGGCTCTTTCTTCTTGCTATCTATACCTGACTGTTTTAGCAGTCTTCATCCTCACAGCTTTCCCCCTTTTGCTGTTCCTGCCTGCCCACCTTGTTGCTTAAAACACCTCTGTGGCCAGAAATTGGCCATGTTGTCAAGTGCCAGCTTTCTTCCCAAAGGCTGGGGAATGACCTCAAACATGGGAGAAGCATGGCCAGTGCTGTTATAATGTAAATAAACTTGTAAAATGGTTCAAGAGGCAAAACCCAGAAAAATGACTAGCAAGTAGCTTGTGCTTTAGATTAGCTTAATTTGCTCAAGTCAAATCTGAAGCTGATCTGTCTGGCAAACCTACTGATGCCTACATTGTCAAAATACATGAGACAACATTTCATTTCTCTAAATTTCCATTAATTTCATTGCCTTATTTTCTTTCTGTTCCTCCTACACCAGGATGACATTTTTGAAGTGTACTTTTAAGAGCATAATTTGATCAAATGATCCAAGGGAATTCCCTATAGATATCCATGATTTAATGCTAGATCTGTTCTAAAGGTTGGCATGCCTGATAATGGCAATTGGTTTAACACCTGTTAATTTCTAAATAATTAATATAGAGTGTTTTTTTCTAGACAGAACTGTGTCTTGTGTACACAGCTCAATCAGAAAAATAAAGGCAGGGCCCAGCCATGCGTGGTGGTGAGCATTCTGAGCATCCCAGCCTCAGCCAGAGTGGGTGTTTGGCACCTTGCTGAAGTCAGCCATTGCGCATGTCCTCTTGTGAGATGCTTGTAGGTGACTTCCAGATGACCTTGAGGAGACTGGACAGGAATTCACTGGTTGGCTGATTTATGTTTCAGTACCGTAGATATTCTGTGCTCTGAAAACAAGTAGGGTCAGCAGCTGAATTTGAATTTCTCTGTCTTCCCTTTCTCTTCTCCATTTGTGATTTTTACTTTCTGGCTCACAGCACATGCACTAGAAGCTGAAGAAACCTCTTTTATCAGGTTAATATTTTCATCATAGTTGTGGCTCACATCCACATAGGCTTTGGGCTCCTCTGCTCTGTACCCATTTCTCGCTCTTTTCAAAGGGAAGTAGGAAACTCTTGGTATGGGTGCAAAACTTAGAAGAGATCTATGCCAAATAAGAGCAAGAACACAGCTGCACAAGACTCAGCATACTGCTCACAGACAAAAAGCAGTGAAGGAAAAGATAACATTTTAAGCTAAATGAGAGATCGTTATACAATACTCTTTCCATTCAGCTCGTTCTAAGAGGAATATATACATGTGGCAGCAGCACTTGGGACATGAAGAGCTACTTTGAAAGTAGATGCGTTTCCCAGTGTTTGAGATGAGGATGGAAAGTGGAGAGTGAGAAAGCTGGCTGCCCCTGCAGAGGTGCCCCCCTCTGTGGCCACAGCAATGTCTGTGAAGCCATCATGCTTTTCTGTCCTTAACGAGAAAGCAGCCTGGACTGGCTCAGAGCAAACACGGTTTGTAGGAAGCATTTCAGGCTGATGTTCTTGCCTGAGGAGGGAGTTTTCCAGTGGCCTGGCAGAGCCAGTTGGTAGCATGAACAGCTCAAGCTACAGCAAGGAGACCCAAGCAGAAGTACACGAACTCGTCCATATTCCCTCTTACTGTGGTGAAGCAGGAAGGCACAGAAGGGAGGCCTCAAAATCATAAGGCAAAGGACTGCTCTGTGGGCTGCCTGGCCACACGTACAGGTGTACGTACGCAAAGCTGTAAATGGGAGCCCATGCAGGGGTTGTGCTGTACTGGGAGAGCTAACTGGGCTGGGAAAGTAAGCTTTACCCTTTCAAACAGACCAGTGTAAATGATAGCAGAGGGTGTCATGCAGGCAGTTGGGATCTTTACACTGAGCCTCATGTTATCAGAGGGTTTTGCTCACTGCGCTGCCTTGTGAAATGCAGCCTGTGACCAGAGGGAAAGTGGTAAGCCAGTGGTAGAACTAGATTAAAACAGCAGTACGCAAACACACTGACCTCTTCCTGAGTGGTAACCTTGAATGAAAGCTGATTCACTGGACTGATTTCATTCAGCTTGTCCATGAGAAAATAGAGCACAGCAGCGTTGACTGCAACTGGCCAAAGTGCTTGTGAGCTTCAGTGATCTTCATGGTATTTGTTTCAGCTTCCAGGTCCTTAAAGATGTTAGCAATGTTATAATGTGGTATTACACTCGGAGCCTACAAAAAGGTATTGGCAAAAGGCACAATATATAAATGTAAGAATGTAAGAATTTATTGGTAGTCCAATTACTATTTTAAACAGTATAATAATCAAAATTACTTAATGAATAGTGGAAGACCTCATTAAAAATAGGGGTAAAATTGCTACATAAAAAGTTCCCTATTCTCTGGCTTTGTGCTTATTCCTCCAGTGTTCCTTTGGGTCTTAAGACTGACACTTTGGTATCTCTCAAAAGGAATGGGGGAGTACTACAATGAATTATCACCAGGAGGAGCATGATACTCATGGGAAGGGGATGTCTTTCTCCTCAGTCTGGTGTCTGATTTAGTTTTATGTTTTCTTAACACTGTCAGCTTACTGGGATTAAATGACTTATTTGTGTCATCTGCGTCTGCACTCTTTCCCACAGCTGACTCTAGAGCTGTAGGCATTTCAGTGTACAATGAATAACCATTTGTTATTACCATAAACTAGAGTTAAACTAAAATTTAGTCAAGAGAGCCTCACAGCTGAACAATTGCTATCACAACTAAACCAAATTAAAATCTATTTAGGCCCAGACAAACCCAGGGAATTTCTGGGTCCATATACTATCATGTCAATACAAACCTTGTTGCTTTTTAATAATAATGGCTAAATCACGTTTACTGGGCTATAAAGTCCCTTTTAGTCTGTGAATTGCAGAGTTCAGCAAGGATTTGCAAACCCTTCTATGACTGCAGAATCATGACTGAGCAGTAGATCTTGGAAGCATTCACACTTTCCTAACTTTTTTTGAATTAGAATAATTCAAGGTCTGATTGACTTGTATTTCTTCATTGCCATCAGGAGGCCAGCTAAAAAAAAGTGATTTTCATCGCCAATATAATTTGCACAATCAGCAGGAATACTGTAGTTATTAAATTGAGAGCTATAGGTTGTAGTGCTAAGTTAAAAATTCCTGCAGAAGACCATTGTGTAACCTCATAAAGGTATAGGATAATTAAGAATACGTTTGAATCTAAGACACGTCACACACGAGCACACTCACAGACACTATCAGATAGGTTTTACACGAGGCAGTTCACAACAATTTCTGAAATTGGCTCTGTACACAAACACAGCTTGATCTCATATATATATTTAGAGATTGATTAGAAACAGAATGAGAGATGTCATAGTCACATCTGTTTAACTTTTGAGCTAAGCAATCATCTGAAGACTGGAAACTAATATCTTCACATATCTATTGCATGTTTCAATGCTATTTGCTGACTTTCTTCTGAAAAGACTCACTGAATATTCCATTTTCTTTGACAGCCTGTGTTCACAGATGCACATTTTTAATAACAGAAACACTTGTTATACATTTCTAAAATTATCTGATCAGCTTCCTCCTAACAAGAACTTTCTCATCAACTTGATACATGACTACGTATTTTATGTATATGCAGTGTTTCCACCATGTGAAAAATTCAAGATGCTTTAAAATACCTCCCATACAATAGTACATAAATATTTCTTTTAAAAACATGATTTTTCCATGGCAAAAAAAAATATACTCTGTTGATCTATCTTTTCTTGTGTGTTTTATAAGCACTCACAGTTTCAACCATACTTGTAAATATATGTATACTTTAATGTTAGAAGTATAGATATTAATATCTAGGTAATCTGTTAAGTGTGGTTACTCTCAAGGAGAGGACATACAGACCTCCTCATCTGGAGGGATCTCACCTTGAGAGGGCCACAACCTCCTAGGGCCCCTCTGCCAATATTTCACCACCCTCACGGTGAATGAGGTAAATAATTTTTCCTAATTCCTGGTCAGAATTTCCCTTGCTCTGACTTCTGCTAGTTGCCTCTTTCCTGTCCTTGTGCACCCCTAAGAAGAACCTGGCTCTGTCTTCTCTGTAGCCTCCGGGGAAGTATTTTCAGACAGCAACAAATCCTCCTGCCCTCCTGGCCTTTTCAAGGCTGAAGAACTGCAGCGCCCTCAGCTTCTCCCAGCACGCTCCCTGCTACAGCTCCCACTGGAGTAGCACCAGTAGGTTAATGTCTTTCTTGTACTGTAGGAGATACAGTAATTACATGAAAATTTTCATTTATAACATCTGTTTTTTGTTCATATACTTGCTGATAGTGTAACACCCTTAACTTGTTCTACAGCTGTACTGTCTTCTTGAGTTTTGTCCTGTTTGGTTAAGTTGGATCTACTTCTACTTCAGTTCGTTCTTCTGAAGTCCAAATTTCTCCTTGCGCTGCCAGTTCTTCAGTTACCTCCCTTGCCACTAACCAGACAACCCATGTTTCAGCACGTTATAGGCTTTTCAAGAGAAAAAAATTTGCTTTTTTTAATATTTTTTTCTTTTTGCAAAATATTGTTCTACTTTCTGAATACATTGGCAAGAAGCTGGAACTCAAGGGTATGGTCCCGAAGAGCTGATTAACACACTGGCCTTGGACCAACAAAGTTTAGGAAAGAGAACACTTAGAGGAAAGAATACAAGATTTTAAGATTAGAAGGGTGGGAGAGCTCTTCTGAGTTTGACTCTGCAAAATTTCTGACAGCACTTGGCTCTGCCATACTGCTGCATGGAGTGCTTCTGAGTTTCATCTGCAGTTGCTGAGAACAGAGGATATTCAGTACTTACCAGAAAGTATTCTCCCTTTCGAAGGATGAAGCTCTTGAAGACCCCCCCACCACTGTTAGCAATATGACCTTTTCAAGTACTTAAAATTACTTAATTAGCAATATAACCATTAGAAAGAACAAAATCATTCTAGCAAAAGTAACAGATCTGTAATTGCAGGTGTTACAGAATGTAGTACAAAAGATGGTGTTTCCAAAATTTGTTTTAAAGTGTTTTAAAAGGCTGTATAAAGAAGGGAAGCAAGCAAGCTACCAGGTAGTGGATTACTTTCCCCTCGGAAAGTAATTCTTACTTCACTTTTTGTGAAGTAAGAATAGGGGGAACATGTAACAAGCATCTTGCTATTAAATTTGCCCATGACAAATAGTGCAGCTGCGTGTAGTGTGCCAGAACATCTGCAGAATCACGACACATGCTGAATCCCCCACACTAAGAGCGTGACATTATACTGAAAACAATTCAGTTGTAGAAGCAATATAAATCCATTTTATATAATCTTTCTCCACCTTCTCCTCCCCCTTATCTTTTGAATCATGTTAACTACAGGATTCTGTCACTTCTTCACAGCATCAGTTAAAAAGTATAAAAGTGACTAAGCATTTCAGGATTATCTTCTTCTTTCATTAGCAGCTAGAATGCAAGTACATCTTATCTGAAGAAACAAAAAAGAAAGATAACCAGTGGCAGAAATGCACTAGACACCAGAGCTTACTCCAAGTGGAACCTGACATCGTTTGCAGATGCAATTTAACTCTCAAGAAATCAAGGGGTGATTTTCTGTGTCAGCATCTTGTGTGGTTTTTCAGTTGAAAGTAATCAGTCGAATTGCTGCCAGTCTTTACTTCACCCATGTAAATGACAACACAAAGTACTGTGATATGTAATATCACAAAGTGTTATGGAAAAATATGCCTAAAATATATAGATTTCTAAAGTAAGGGGAATCTCCTTGCCTGGTATTTTTTGAATTCTCACAGTTTACCTTTCAAATTTGGTAAAAGTTCCTTTAAGCTCCACATTTGCCTTTTTCAAAATCCTTGAAGGCTTTTATTTTTCCCAAAATGATTTTAGCAAACTGTTTGCTTCCTTCTTCTAAATATTCTATTGTTTGCTCTCTGAAATAGCTTCTTTGCAATCTTTAGATTTTAAAAGTAAGAAATTTTATAATGGCAATGCAAACGCTGATTTTTGTAATGTTTGAGGTTGTCTAAAGACTATGTGAGAATAATACTATGACAAGGCAAATACATGCATGCTATGAATGCCTGGATCATTATCAGCTTGCTTCTTTGAAACATCTTACATGAATTAGGACAGGTCAGGCATGGTAGCTATGTGAAGCTCCAAGATAATTTCCAATTTTTTCCGCAGACTGCAGGTCAAGCATGAAGCTAGAAGAGCGAGCCGGCTTGGTCATAATTTTCAACTCTTTGCCCATAAAATTCCTGAAACTCAACTAAAAACACAGATTCTTTTAAGGATTTTATTGATAGCATAGAGTTTTAGTTTACTGACTTGCTGATACTCTTTGGTCAAGTCCTTTGCACTCTTACTTCATTCACCACCTGAACAAAGCCTTGTTTTCCTGTATCAGAGAGACATACTGTGAGTAAATGTGAAGGTTTTTAAAGCACTCTGATAATGGAAAAGATATACAACTGATATTACCTGATCATATTTTCTTACTATTAAGGGTATATTTATCTCTTAATTGATTCCTCATTTAATAATACAATTATTTTTAACATCCACTTCCTGGTTTGCATCTCCAGTAACTGCTTGCACAAGATACACAGTCATATGCATCACCATAGCAGAAAGGAATGTTGTGTGCCCTGCAATGCATTTATGGAGTTGGAAAATGCTTTTATTAACTTTTCAGTGTCCCCAGCTTTCACATGGAGAGGCACACATCCAGTGGCCAGATGTAACTGCAATCAGCTGTGGCCACTCCAAGCTAAAAATGAGTGTCTGAGCATCCTGCTCACTAATCCTTCCCCTGGTGGTGCTTGTGTTTGGTCTCTTGGGTAAATGGTTTAACAGCTCCTTGTAGTCTTGGGGTCCTGTGACACAATTTTTAACAAGTTAGCACAAAAAGGAGTTGTGGAAAAAAATGACCCAGGGAAAGCTACATTTATATGGTATGTAAAATAAAACACTAAAATTCCCCTCTTGCAGATTTAGTTTTATGGTGATTTGAAAAGTTTTATTTTATTTTCCTCATGATGGAGACATAGTGATTCTTGAAGGGAAAACACATACACATGGATATAGTCACCGTGGATAAGTAAATTGAAAAATACAGATTATGAAATAAATACAATTCTAAAAAATAAACATATTTGGTTTAGACCCAAAGGAGCCAAATTCATCATGAAAATTATTATTATTGTAGCCAATCTAATTCTTCTAGTTGTTTTTCTTTATCTGTATTTCTGGTGTTGTGAGTCTTGTTGTTTACAGCTTCTCAGCGAGAAGAATATCCCAAATGAAATTACTGTCAGCAGCCAAAGAAAGTATCCATAATTCATCCCAAAGCACTGTCAACTTAATTTTAAAGTAATCTTTCTGCTTTATGAGTTCAGACTGAAGTGGTAAGTTTGCAAATCCCTAAATCAAACCATAGGAAATAAAGGAAATACATATATCCTTTTCAAATATTCTGATTTCCTCAAGTTTCATTGTAAGCATAGTTTTTAGTAATTAAATCTTCAATTACTAGAAGCAGAAGAAAGAAATAAAATTGTGAACTGTATTCTGTACCTCTGTACACAACACATCTCTGTTGTGACTCCAGAACCATCTCCTTTGCTATAGAAAAGTTTTTCTAGATTTATAATAGCAGAAATTAATTTAGATTGTGTATTCCTCTGAGCACAGTGAGAAGCACATGTGAGTATTTGTGTATCAGGTTCAGCCTACTGAGGTCTGTAAAAGGCACGCTGTGCTGTGAGGTATCCAACATTTCCAAGTGCTGTTCTGGGGCCTGTGCAGGTGTGAGAGTAGTGCAGACACTCCTGAAATGTCCTCAGTCGGGAGTTTCCAAATGTTTTCAAACTGACCTCACACACTGCGAGTAACACTGAAGCTGAGTCAAATTCTTTAGATCCAAGAGACCCATTTAGAGAGCAGGTCAGGAAGCCTTCTATAGGGAATCAGTGAAAAATCTGGTGAAGCCTGTATCTCTGAGTGCAAAAACAGCAGCCTGGCAGTGAGTGTGAGCATGGTCTTGTTTCTGCTCCTCTGCACACTGGGGAAAATCGTGCAGAATTCATTGTCCCAGGACTCAGCTTATTGCCACAAAACCAGCAGAGCCTCAGCATGCATTCAGGCTCAGAACTGCAACCAGCAGTTACTGAATAGCAGCCACGTTCTGAATCTCAACACACCATGAAAATCCTCCTTTAATCAAATGCTCCCAGGGGAGCAAGAAATTCAAGATGCTCTTCCACCCTGGGCTGGTGCACACCACTAGGTCAACACTTGGCATAAAGAGCTTTCTGCTTGTCGATGCAGTGTGGGGGTGGCAGTCGGGGGGGACACTCGTAACAAGCAAAACCAACAGGCAGCACGTAAGGTAACATGAGAACATGAAGGGAGCAATAAAGAAGAGGCAGAAGGTACAGTACTGAGTGGGGCACTGTGATGGCTGAATTCAAAAGCATTTTGCTTCTCAGCTTGAACTTTTTAATTAAGGAATTTCACAGTAATTTTGACTAAGCTTGAAGAGGAACAATTTCAGTGTTCTGGCTCACTAAATACTTTCTTGCAGTCTAAATAGATGCAAAGCCTGGAGCTGAAGGAAATCAGTGCATTAGCAGCACTTTCTTTCCAGCCTGCGCTGTAGATAAGTGCTGTCCTGTGGCAACCTTTTTGGGGTCAAGTGATTTAGAGAGCTTAGACAAGGCTGGGGTTCAGGATCCCTTTACTCAGACACAATCCTGAGTAGCACAGGCTGTGAGGAAATATTTTCTGACATTTACTAGAGGGGCAGGGGAGGGAAGGGAGGACTCCTGGTAGCTGTAGGAGAGACAGTAGGCACAGCTAAACTAGAAGGAGGGGAAGGGATCAGGAATATAATGAGGAGGTGGGGGAAATGACACTGGAATAAAAGGGTGAGTATATAAGATACACACTCATCCTGGCCTTCCTCTGTTCAAAGCACTCCCTCCAAGGGTGGGTACAAGACTTGAATAGAGGGGATGGATGTCAAAATATTTCCATAAGGAATATAAGTGCAATAAATCAGAGAAAAAGGGCAGAATGGAGGCAAGGAGCAAATGGTAGGAGAATTATTTTAGTTCTAAGTGAATGATTATGTCTCCTGAGTGATTACACATCAGGATGGTGGTGTGTTGGGGAGGATTGTTCAGCTAGATAGAAAGGAGTGCTCAAATTGCAGTCATTGAACTGTAGTGCATGCAAGGGTACAAATAAGAAAAATAGACAAGTAAAAATCCAACTGGAGTTAACACATCTTGGGCACTGCAATCCTTGGGAGTTAAGGTAACTATCATACAAGGAAGACAGCTTTCAGAGGAAGCTACTTTGAGTACTTGCAGAACATAATCACAGAGAGAGAGCTGACGAAGAAAATAACAGACTATTAAAAATACTTTGAACATAACTTGCAATATACTGGGTCAAGTACAAGATCAGTAATTTCTTCCAAGCTGTCTACCAAAACAGGGCCTCCAGCAAGAAATACCTGCTGTAAGACACAAACCTATAGAGTCATTCTAGTACTGGGCTGGTGAAAGGCAGGGGACACAATGCCAGTGTGCTGTATCCCATTCGTTATACTTTGATGAATGTAATGTACTTTAGCAGAGTTGTTATGGTTGCTGGGGCATTAACACCTTGTGCAACATCAAGCGTTCAGACGAATAATAGTTGCCATGTTTTCTTGATAGCTCTGCATCTGTTTTTACTCTCATTAGCACTTGTAGCTGCCAAGCAGTTCTTTCCCTTTTTGCCTCAAATATATAATTTATAAATCTGAATCAGATATAACTTTTATCCATTTATTCCCCAGTGCTGAGGTTTGATCAGTATATGCCAACGACTGTAAATGTAAGACCAGGGACTTCTTATGTGGCCATAGTCAAGCACTGCTGTCACTTTTCTATTTAGCAATTGTTGTATCATCCATCCACACAGTGACTGGATCAATACCTTTTGTTCCTGGAATGGGAACCTGGAATAATAAAGGTTAGGTTTTAAATTCCTGTTTACAGAAGCTAGTGTGTCTCAGCATTCACTTGTTTTGTTTTGTAAAAATAAGCAGCATCACTGGGAAAAATGTATTTCTCCTCATTTCACTCAGAAGAAAAAAAAACAGATGAGAATTCCTGCACTGAATCTAACAGTTTTTATTTTGCTTTCAAGAGGTTACTGGGAATTTAGTGCTGGGTAGAACTAAATTTAGTCTGAACTCATCTTTGCTCCATCTGGAGCCATTGCCAGTTATACCTTCAGATGTTTAAAATTAGAGTTATATTGCTTTATTTACATGCTTGTATTTTATTTCCAGGTGTTTTATGAGAGCATGGAACTGCACGTCACAGCACCTTTTCTCCATAGGTTGAGACTGCTGTAACACTCCAAACTTCTGCTACCCACATACCCTCCACTGCAGTAATTCTTTGGTACTGTGGAGAGTCAGTCACACAGTGCTGATCAGATCATGTGCCACCTGTTATGTCCACTAGTATATGGGAATATAGCAAGGAAAAGAGAATAGCAAAGCTTTAGTGGTGTGGTGTCCCTCACAGTCAGTGTAGTAAGTTAGAACAAACTGCAAAAACTCAGAGCTATTTTCCTCAGCAGGTCAGCATTCAGGGAAACCCAGAGCACAGGGAGAGTTACTGCCACCATTCCCCCCCCTTTCCCAGACTGGCATTCTGGCCAAAGTTAATGATTCATAAGATTCTGCACT